GTGACAATTAAAAAAAAATTAAAAAGTAGTTCTTACCCATAATGCATTGTGTGTGTAATAATCTTGGTGTCCAAGGAAGTAACCATAGTGACTATCAAATCCACGATAAGTAGGTGTGTACTCTTTAGCAAAGAATCCAAGATGCCACTGAGTGAAAAAGTAGTTTGAAATTAGCAATTTAAAATTGTTTTAATCCAAATCAAACACAATGCAGAGCGACAATTGTGGCGGAGGTGAACTCTAGTAAAAGTAATTGTGAACACTCGTAAAATATTTGTGAACACCTGTAAAAATGACTTACCTGTACTAAATAATTTAGATTATTGTGTGCATGTCTGCATCACATACATACATACATAAAGTCAAATAATTCATCATTAACTCACCTTACCAACCATATGTGTAGAATATCCCAATTTTTTTAAGTAAGTCGGCAAAGTCGTTTCATTTAAAGGTAATCCAACAGGTTCATTAGGGGTAATGACAAAATGTTGTAAACCTACAACATAATTCACACAAAAATAGTATGATATGTAACATTACTACGATGTAATGGCAATAGAGAGTTGTTTTCATTATCATTTCATATAGATACTATTATAATCACCAGCATTCTGACAATCTGTATATATTCTAATTTAGGCATCAGGCAAGAATGAAACACTAATGAAACCTAATTTTTCTCCCATAATCAGTTATTCTTAAAAAAATAAAATAATAATAGTTAACATAACCGTAATTTGATTGATAATTCACACTTGAATGACCTACCTAAATGCATAGGATATCTACCAGTCAACAATGCTCCTCTTGTGGGGGTACACACTGGTTGTACATAGTAGTTATGTAATAACACACCACTGTAAGCCAACTCATCAATGTTTGGTGTTGGAATCTGATGAGAACCATGGAAACTAACATCATCCCATCCCTAGAAAGCACAGATTAGTTTATTAAAAAAAACAGAAAAAACAGTGGGGCATGATGTGAATCATCATGATATTTTGTTTGATATTTGCTATACCAAGACAATATGATGAAAATAAAGATGCCAATTTAGGAAATGTTTTTTTTTCAAGTTTAGTTTTTATAATTTTCTCTCAATGCCCAATGAAACTAGGGTAGTACTGTAAATGCATTAATTAGTCACTGGGTTTTAATTTCACTATTTTCACTGATATGTAAATTCCACTAAATTAAATCTATGTAAACATATAAAATACCGTAAAAATAGAACTTATTGTTTCCTTGTCAAATTTTTGAAATTAAAACAAAATGAATATGCACAAGCACCAAAATAGTGAAATTAAATGTCAGTGAAAATTAATGATTATACAATACAAACAAATTTGAACATCACATGTTATGCTTGTTTTGAGAATTATTGTAAGTAAGTAAGTAAGTAAGTAATTCTTTATTGCTATCGTATCCCATTTGAGATCTTGACAAAAAGTACAATAAAGTCAAAAACATGTAATAATAAAAAAATGAAAATAAAAGGAAATACTAAAAATACAGTAAATGAATGAAATAAAATATATAAATAATCTTCTCATACCTTAAATTGTGGAAGAAACACAGACATTTTATATTTTTTTTTGTATAAAATTCATAACCAATAATCTAAAGTTGCCATTGCCAAGTGCAATGTACGAAAGTAAAATTCACAGAAATACAGGGCTTGACACCAACTTTTAAACTTACATGTATATTTATATAGTATAGCCTGTTGAGACAAGTCTGTGCAACTATTCAGATGGCCAAATGGAAATTTTACTATAAGGCTACTGTAGCGTGATGGTCATAAGTAATATTTTAATGATTAGGAATACAAAAAATGCAATTTTCAGTTTATATGTGCTTCTACTAGAGCTAATATGATACACTTAAGGGTCAAGCGCTGAAGCACACGAGGTGAGGTGCAGAGGTACATGATGTACCTCTCATAACTGGCTTTAATTAATTAGTGAGCCAAACAGTCCTTATTGGATCAGATAGGAAAGTATAAATGGTGAGCAGAATTCTCCTATCAATTAAAATTTATAGTGCACAGCAATAAAACTGGTTTACTTGTTTCACTGGCTAAATTCATTAAAATAATGTTATCGAGTTCCTTTAGACAACTTCTGGATCACTGTCTTGTATTTAAAATGCAAGTATAATTTCATTTATTTCTTTTTCAGGGCTCAAACTATTAGTTATGTTATTAGATATGATTGCCTATTAAGAGTGTATTTTAGACATTGTTATTTGTTATTCTCGCCTATATTATATTTGGCAGTTTTGATTAGCCAGTGTCTTTTGTATGTACCGGTAGTTTGTTTTCACTTTTGCATTAGTTTTCCTCATCATGGATTTTCAGGAAAGGATTTAAATAACAATGAAAAACAGTTATGATGAAAATATATGAATAACGTTAATCATTATGTATTTAAAGAAAAATTGCATGTAAATGTCGGCTAAAAACGCATTATTCGTCTTCGTAAACAGACAAACGCATGGATTTGTTGATATCTTGAAGTCACGTGATTGTTTTGCGAGACTTGGCTTTATTCTCGTAGTTTTCAATATGGCGGCATTGTAGTTTTGTGAGCTTGCAAAAATCGTGAGAAATGCTTAAAAAATAAACTACAACGATGAAATAACTAATCCAGATTTCCGTCGAGAGAACATTGGGATGTGGTGTACCCTTTGAGGTATTTTACTTGAGTAAAATATGCATATTTTTGTTGTTTTCCGACCATTTTGCTCCACAGACCCGCGGCGTTTATATACCGATGATGTGTATATAATCATGGAACTAAGGGGTTTATAGTTCCATGATATAATCATGGAGCTAAAGAAAGACTTTTTTAGCTCCATGCATGGATATACCCTCCATGATATAACCATGGAACTATAGTTCCATGATATAACTGACTGACGCAGCAATGTACTTTTCCAGACCCAAAACGCCGCGAAACTACGGCTATGTTTGAAAATGCTTACAAATCATCCACATTGCCAGACGAAACTTATACAGTCCATGTTTTCAAAGTTAAATCCACGAGTTCCGGCCACTAGTCTGAGCTGGTAATCTTCTACCATTTAAAAAATCAAGGCTTTGTAAACATACAATAAAAGTTTGCAGCATTAGCACACTTGTCCCCGGATGGGCGATTTAACCTTTATATAATGAAAAGTCAGTTTGACCTACCAAGTCATCAGCAAGAATGAAAATGATATTAGGTTGTTTAGACGATATGACTAGTTTCCATGATAACAAAGATAGCACAACTTTCAGTATCAGCGACGTATGAATCGCCATCACTCTGTACTGGTTAAAATGTCTCCGACTTGTAAACAAGCGAGTTTGTTAAAAAAACACGATCTGTTATGTACACACTCTACAGTCTGTGCCTTGCACTGTTGCGGGGGAATAGGTACTAGTAGCTAATGGCGATCGGAACATTCTTGCTTGTTGAAGTCGTAGACAAGATTCATTGTCGTGGAAACAGCACAGCTGACTCGAAGCATACTAAACAAAGGCTTTTTTTCGTTAGCATGCGGGAGGGGTGGGGCAGAGTTAATCCGGAGTACCATTGTTCTTTCTTGTGATTTATCTGGGATGGTCGTCGTCTTTGTGACGAGTGTCAGTCACCGTTGGTGGCGCTATGATATTTCAAAGCCTTTGTGGCTGACACTGATATTTATTTATTATCCAATATATTTTGTTTGTAGGATTTGGCGTATGTATTGTATAACAAATAAAAAAATACGGTATTTGGTAAGCAGAGAGGTTAAAAAGAAATTACAATGTATACCTATTGTACCTATTTGGGAAACTTTTATTCAAAGTAAATAGAAATGTGTAAGAACCTGCAGCATTGGGAACTTAGGATGGGCAGACTTGAGTTACATCTTGCCAATATCGTTTTGACCCCAATTTATCGCCGAGGAAATTCAAAAAACGTTGTCGGTGTTTCATGGCGTAATTGGCATAACAATGTTTTTGACATTTGTCGCCATTTTTAAATATCCTTGATTTTCCCCACGCCAGGGAGAATTGCAATGCGAAGAATTGTTGCCCCGGAGTCTGTAATAAAATATATCATTGTCCTCCATAAAAATTCAACTTCTAGCAGTTTGTGTTGTTTTTCTTCCCACTGTTCACTGCGTTTCCATGGTCAGTGTTCAACAGTCACCTGCTGACCTGAGTGCCCTGGGAAACAAAGCTAAGTACTGGTACTATGCTTAGAAAGCAATATTGCACTTGCATCTTTTGCGAATGGCACTTTGAGAGACGATAGATTATGGGAATAATGCCAAAAAAATATTGTAGAATTTCATTTTTGTTTATTTTGCCCTGCTCATGGACCACTTTACATTCCTTTTTTCTACCTTTATTTCACAAGCTTGAAAATTCAACTGTTCAAATACATCATGCCAAGTCTGTATTTAAAGGGCGGTAGTCGTCGCGCCCCGCATGCACAAGATATATGGATCTCATGGCGACATTGACTGTTGCGCAGATCAGCAAGTACAACACGAGACGTTACCAAGCTTTAATTAGGCATTTTTTAGGTGATTGGAAGGTATCGGATGAGTCACCAATAATTAGTGCAAGTCGTGACCAGGTCAAACCATTTCCATTTTCAGAAGAGTGCATTGGATTGTGGGAAAATCAATGTTTATCAACACAAATGTCGCACATGCGCAGCGTGACGACCACCCCTCTTCAACATGGGGCATTAGAGATACAAATCAACACTCGAATTAATTTTACATAACACGACTGCCTGATAAATTTTAAAGTTATGGTTCTGAACAAATGCTGATTGGCTTTGAACTCTTAACTCAAACGCCAATATCTCTTCCTTTGATCTACCAGGAATTTGATGTGTGCCGATATTTTAAATTTACATAAGCATACACACATGGACACATTGTCAACCACTGTAAGGTAATATTTATATCCAAATTGAGAGCTTTAGTGATTGGTTTTATTTGTTTTGCCATTCTTGAATATCAATATCCCAAGATTTTTGTTTAAACAGTTAAATATTGAACATTATCAACCCTTTGGTTCAGCAACAGTCACTATCATGGACTGAGTGTGATTTAGCCATGCCTCCCCTATACCATATGAAACAAGCAGCCTATCGACTGAGATAGCTCCGCTGTTAGCAATGCACATTTCAAATAAAGATATCATTAGAAAATGAACAATATGTATAGTATCAGAGCAATTCAACAAGAATTCAAGAATATCACTTTTCACCAAAAATGACAAAAATAATCATGAAAATTAGATAATTAAAGATATCACCACGAAATTAACAAATCTAAAAGAGGTCTACATGTAGTACCTATATATGTAATATCAAAAGCAATTCGACTCACAGTTTTCTACAAGTCAAAAATATCACTTTTTACCAAAAATGACAAAAATATTCATCAAAATTAAAGAATTGAAGATATCATAATGAAATGAACAAATCTAAGAAATCAACCCAAGGTACATATACACCAAGTATCAAAGCATTCAGGCTTGTAGTTTTCAAGAAGAAGTCGAAAAAGTAAAGCATTGACACGGACGGACAATCACTCATATATAAGCTCCACTCGACAAAGTCGACATGTTATCCTCAGCATACCTGTCTATTGTTTTATCCGCTTTCCCGGTGACATAACAGAATGAGGAATTATTCACTATGGTCATACAAGAATATACTGACATAAATACAGGATAATGCATTATTTATTTCATCCAATTCTATTAAATACCATCTTGTTTATACAGTACCAGGTATACAATAAAAGACTGTAGAAATTCATTTTCACCTACCACTAATCAAATGTCTGCAGAAATATAATTTTGATCAACAAAACTTTTTCTGTTTTATTAAATTAAGCATGTAAATGTCTTTCATAAAAAACATTCTCTTTC